TTGATAATGATCGACTTCTAATTGCAACGGCCAGACTGTAGTAACTATGTATCACATGTCATAGTACTATGAAAAAAGCCAACTTCCGTCATAACACTGTTTTTTCTAACAATTCATCTTCCTATTCTATTTATAGCAATCGGATTTAGTAGTATAAGACAATTATTATTAAGTGATTATTTGTCGCACATATATTTCCATAGTATAAACCGCCAGCTAATCTTAGCTAGACCACCAGTGAAAACCTGAAACATTGGAAGGCTGTTTCGTCCCAATGTGGGACTCCTCGGCAGTGAGCATCTACGATCCCGATTTCGGGAATCGAATCTAAGACTATCGATCTCGCACGTGCGCTCTTAGCCTTCACATAACTGAGGAGGCATCCAATAGTGTACATGTTTAACTCCAAACAATTCACGATATTCAGCAGCTCTCATCCATTGCCTATGTTATACGACTGTTTCATATCCAATCAAACATTGTAAGTTCAATTCCCGAATGCTGGGTTGTGGATGCACACTGCTGAGAAACTGCATAAACAGATGAGTCTGCCGTCCAGTTCTTTCACAATTTTAATGGGGTTCTAAGATCACTTCATGATTCAAACTATGAAAATTTTACAATCTCCACAAATTATCTTATTCTAATACTATGCTTATCCTTGTTTGCCAGGTTCATCTTGGATTAAAATTGACAAACAATGAAAATAATTTAACAAAACCTTTAAAAGAATCACTACAATCAAACAAAAATCACACATGTAAATCTCAGAAAATATATAGAAATGTTGACGATACTGGTGGTATCCATATTGTTACTAATAGTAACGATAATGATCATGAAAGGGATCAAATGAGAAATAATGAAGATGGTAATAATCATCCTTTATCATTGAAATCAACAATCGATCGTAATACAAGAAAAAGATCTTATAAATCCATAAAAACCATGAAGAAATATTGATGCAAGTACGATCATACCTAATTAATCTTTTTTGCATTAACATAGTGAAGTTTGACTGATATGTGTGCACAAAGTGTTCTTTTTTGTCATCAGAATAGTGTAAATATACATATGTTTTCATAACATCATCTGACAGGTATCTACCTCAGTACAGTGGAAGACGGTCGTGCAATCTTGTGGATTAGTTGAGGTTAGATATTAACACTATTGGATGCCGGCTCAGTGGTCTAGTAGGTTAGGCGTTTGCGAGCGAGATTTATAGGTCCTTGGTCTGAATCTCGCGAAGCAAGATCGTGGATGCTCACTGTTGACGGGTCCCGCAATAGGATGAAATGGCCGTTCAGTGCTTCCAGGTTTTCTATGGCGGTCAGTTCATGAACTCAATCAATAACTTAATAATCTCCACAATCCTATATTGATTATCTGGAAGTGTTTGAGTTAATCAGTTGATGATATAAGAAACTGGAATTTAATCAATTTTTGTTAAGATTATTTGAATATAGCCACTTTGATATATTATCTGAAACAGAAAGATTCCGATTAGTAGTAGAATCCAAGATGGGGATTTTGTCTTATTTAGGAATGTCTGAAACGGGGACAGTCCGTACAGGATGTATATATGTTAATAAAGATCAATCAAATTTTTAGTGCTGAATATCAACAACGGGGTAATTTAAATCATTACTAACATTGACTTGAAAATCATACTGCTTTAACCAGTGGATAGCTTTCTAGATTCAGTAGCTCAGTGAATAACGAAGTAAATATTTAAAGCAAACGATACTGGGTTCGATCCCTAACGTAGACGTAGACAATCGGACGAAATATGCGTCTTGGTTTCCACTCCCATCCACAGTTATTCTGTTCTAAAAAATTCATAATTTTCTAGTTTCCTATAGTAGTAGTATGTAGATTTTAACAGAAATGTTCATCAATTTTTTACATCTATGTCACTTAACAATATTAATAGGATTGAATGGAATCCATTAAAGAGTAAAATTATTATAATTTACAGAATAATTTAATCAACTATGTTGTAATTGGACACAAATCAATAGTATTTTAAAATTTCCTATCTTGCCGCTTCATTGAGCTCATTTAGTGCACAACATGATTCCTGGTGATAATAACTTCTAGACCACTCAGCCGGAATCCATCAGTGTTAATGTTTAACTTCAACCCATCTACTTGTCAGGTAGAGATATGTATCTACCGGAGACAATGGAAGATGGTCGCGCAATTTCGTGGATTGATTGAAGTTAGATATCAACACCACTAGATGCCATCTCAGTGGTCTACAAGTTAGGCGTTCGCGAGAGGGATCGCGAATGCGCACTGCTGAAAAGTTTCGTACTAGGACGAAACGGCCATCCTATGCTTCCAGGTTTTCAATGGTGGTCTAACATCAATGGATTCACGATCTCAACAAAACATCTTAACAATCTCCACAACGCCATATTGATGATAATAATAACTTTAATTTCATCATGAATAGGAAAATCAATGAACACACGAATAAACCATAATATTTCATATATCTGAGAAACATTTGATACTAAATTTAATCTGTCAACACAATTAGATGTAAATTGAGCAAATGATTCACTTTCACAGCATTTACGCTACAGTATAATTTTAGATTACCGATTTCAACTTGTTACGAGGTATAAAAAGCTTGGATTCCATTTTCTACAAGGGTAGTGAGTATGCAATGATAGGTAGTTCCCTGGTCGGCATCAGATTGTGTTGTGAAACTGATTTTTATTAGGACAATCTTACTTCTGATGGAATTCAATATTTGTGAGAAATGTTAGGTTGTCATCGGTAGTCAACAAAAAATATTGTCAGTTTAGGGGTTGTGGAGATTGTTAAGTTTTTGATTGAGATCATGAACCGATTGATGTGAGACCATCATTGAAAACCTGGGAGCACTGGACGGCAGTTTCTTCCTACTCTTAAACCAGTGGAGCTAATCCGTGTCGAGTAGAAACAGGTGTCTACCTCAGTACAATGGAAGATGGTCGCGCAACCTCATAGATTGGTTGAGGTTAGACATTAACACCATTAGATACCGGCTCAGTGGTCCAGTAGGTTAAGCGTCCGCGCACGAGATTGAAGGCCCTGGGTTCGAATCCCGCGGGCGGGATCGTGGATGCGCACTGCTGACGAGTCCCGCAATAGGATGGAACGGCCGTCCAGTGCTTCCAGGTTTTCAATGGTGGTCTAACATCAATCGGTTCATGATCTCAACGAAAATATTGCTTTATCTAGGTTTCACGCTAATCAGCATTCATATAAAAAAATACATCTGTAATCTTAAGGCAACTGATGGGTCTCATGGGATTTTAAACATATGTAATCCGTATTCACAGTCCTATATATTACCACTAAGCTGTTTTGGTGCCAAATGAATCCTTATAATACTGAGATAATTATATTGATATTGAATAATGACCAATGCCATTTTGATCTAGTCCTTTGGTAGTGATCAAATTCTATCGGTCACAGTGTTATGTGGTCTCAGAATTGAGAACAAGCATGGCACTAATCGTTAACTACTTAGCAATCAATCAACGTAACTTGTACAAAATATAACCTTGATTTGAGCATACATATATTCATGTGACAAACAGATAATTAGAACGTGTGGTTTATAGGCTAGAAATGTATTCATTTCAGTTATTAAATGGTTTTCAATAAGATAACTAAATGACCGACCTAGGCCTTTCAGTATTGTATTTAAAAGGATAAAGGTAAACATCAGGACTTGATTACAGTTAATACTGGTTGCAAGAACAGTAGTTGTTTGATTATAGTATCCTAGTGTTCCAACGGAACTATTCGGATGTGAAGTACTAATTCATGGCACATACATTTAAAAATTCCTTTAAAACCAGACTTCCACGTACATTGTCTTATCATGTTTTATCGTCCATGTTGTCCTCTATGTAAGTAATTTTTGGTTTGTCGGCAAAAAGAAATCATACGAAGAGAATAAGATGAATATACTCTAAACTTTGATTTAAGGTCTCAAGTACATGTATTTAGTAGACAGACTACACAAATTACAACCTTGATAAATTGGTTTGGGACTAGTCCATTGGATATACCTATATTCCAATGTTGATTTTTTACGTTGAGAATCGGACCCAGCACCTTTTGTTTTAAATGTCCAACGCATGTTCCATTAGGCTACTGAGTTTAGATAGCCAATAGGCATGATGTTGTTTTTCTTATCAGTAAGAGCTTGAATTATCACATTATTGATAACATGAACTGAATTTCGATCAGTTTTTGTTGCCAAATATCGGGATTGCCTTGATTTGTCCATTTTATTAGTTTTATAGGATAGGCAGATTAGTCATTTGAATAAAGACTGATTACTTAGGTCACATTGATTCAATACGGTAAGCGTTTACAAACGATGAGAGAGACTAGCAACCCTAAGAATTCAGTTCAAATACTTAATGGAGAGATCATATATACCAAACAAATGACAGTGAAATCGTTTTTCTGAGTTGGTCAGAATAAACATGTAATTGTCTGATTAAAATATGCTTAATCCAAGCTTTTAATACTTCACTCCTGTATAAATTTATTAAGTTAACAATGTACAAAACTGATTTTTCAATGTGTTAGAAACTAATATCAAGCTCTTCGGACAAAAGCAAATGATGATGATGATGTCGGGTTGTTATAATTCTCTTATTACAACCCAGTTATTCCTATTGCTTAGTATTGTTGGACACCAATTCACTCGACAAGTTCCAAATCAGAACACGGTGGAACGAGAACGAAATAATATTCCAAATAACAAGGGTAGATGAAAGTAAGAAACACAATAAGAAAAACGATAGTATATTTATAGTTTCTACATGAGAAGATTCTAGAGTCTTCTCTAAGTATCAAATAGTGCTGATTGGTTAAGAATTAGCCAATCAGCGTGCACCAACACAATCGTGCATGGAAAATACTTTGATCCAATCTATGTCCCACTAACACAGGTTTATACCTATAATCTAAACATGGTAAACAAAGTGCATGTTGTGACGTGTGGTATCAGAAATCTGATACTGATATACTGTGTGCTACGCGTTAACGCCCCTTCCTCCAAACTGACTACTTGAATGACTCTCTCTCCATATTAGTGTATTATTTTCAAACTATTGAGAAACATCTTCATCAAGACGAGTTCAGTAATAACTTTAGTAGAAAATTGAGAGAACATTTTTTCCAATCCAAAGAAAATAATTTTTATTTGTATGTAGTTGAAAATGATACAAAATGTGAAATAAACACAAGCATAAAATAACTTCTAATTGTATTCATTATTTATTCTTCTATTCATTGTTAACATTTAACGTACAGTTGAACCAGGTGGAACATCATCTGATACAATAATCCATTTATTACCACATATTGAACCTAATCTCCAATCACGCCATTGAATATATTGATTAATAGATGTTGATAAATCTGGACATAATTGTTCCCATAATTTTGTTTTAGATGATAATAATTTATCTGGTTCTCTAAATGATAATGATGATGATGATGATTTCGAATTATCAACTAATGAATGAAAGACAAAACGTTCACCTAATATAGGATTTTGTTTATTTGATAAATGAATTGGTTGTACTTTTAAAAGTGATGAACTCTTCTCAGTATATGAAGCACAAAGTAACATAGCCTAGGAAAATAACATTTGAAAAAGAATATATTAGAAACAGTAGAGATGATAAATGATTAACATAATAGGATGACGAAGAGTGTGAGTGATCTAGTGATTAGGCGATCGTGCGCGGAACTGATAGGTCCTGAGTTCAAATCCCGCGAAGGAGCAGGATCGTGGATGCGTAGTGCTGGGGAGTCCCACAATAGGATGGAACGGCTGTCCAGTGATTCCAGATTTCCCATGGTGGTCTAGCTTTAATTGACTCATGATCTCAACCATTGAGATTACTATAATATCCACAAAATCCCTTCTGATATGAAATAATTATATCTCCATTACTCTGGTTTTGTGTCAGTTATTGTGACATTTTAATTTATTGCATGTGTTACTATGTGATCAAATGCCTTAAGCATATTACTATATTATGGTGTGTTACTTATACCGAGAGATATAAGTAGTATATGTCAGGGACTGGAAGTAGGATTCTTACTGACAGAGGAGAAGAACAAAAGCACTCAGAGATTAGTAACAAGAATGGAAAAACAACGGAGTTTGTACGAGACAATTCAAGGAAGATGTTCAGATAGTGTATTCAATGTATTGTTCTCATATTTTACAAATGTAGTGTGTGATTTTACATAGTAAAATAGATTAAAATTCTTCTGCTAAAGTCTTAGTTCATTAAAACATGAGTTCCGAGTTATGACTAAACTGAATACAACAAAAAATTGATCTGATTTCGATCTTTATCTTCTGATTGGCTACTAGGTTGGAAGGAGCTCGAGGACCCATATGCGCCACCATCTTGCTTTTTGTTTATTAACTGAAGTGTCGATTGGTAAACAGACCACCGGTCTTACTGACAATCTAAGTGGACTTATCGATAATCATATTAGACAGAGAGAAATAGAGCATACAACTGCTTGCTTGTCATCACGGCCAGACTGCAAAAAACTCATCCAGCTAAAAAACAATCTATTGTTGTCGTCCAACATAGATATACATTGACAACGATTAGATGAGTAGTTACTAGATTTGAAAGTGCTAAATTCAATAGTGGATACCCAAAACAAATGAGTACCATATTAAAACGAAACAGTTACTCCGTGTTTTTTGACTCATTTTTCATAATGGTTGTTTGGATCTATCCGTTGATGTTTGGGGACTGCAATTGATCGGTCTCTTTTTGGTAAATGTGCATCCAGAGCGGATTGACTCGACATTGTTTCAAGTTACAAGCATTCTGTAAGCAGAGATGATGGTGGCTCGCAGGCGAATTTAGGACGCTCACTTCACCTTATTAAGGAATCGTTAGCATTATTTACGACTTCTAAATAGGACGAAACATGTATCCTGGATTCCATCATTCATCTCTACTTACTATCGAGTGTTCACGATTTTTTGTTTGTTTTCCAATCGTTGTCTGACTAAGGTCAGTTTATGATACAAACAATAAACAGTTTTTTGTAAAAGGTACATTCTATTTAACAATCAACAAATAGAACAGACAGCAAGTTTTAATGTGCTTGAGTAGTGTTTTTCTTTTAATTCACTTCAAAGGTTGATAAAAGTGTAGTTATGTAGGCCTCGAAATCTATTCCTACCATTATTTTGTATGTATATATGTCGAAAAAAGAGTAAAAACTCATCAAGAACGACGTGATGCTTATTATTATTATTATTACTACTACTTACCTGAGATTCAATTCCACGAATTTTCACTGGTTTTAAATTAATCACAAATATACCATAACAATTGAGTAATTTTTCCATAGGATAAAGACCAACCAATCCACTAATCACTGTACGTTTACCAATACTTGAACCGAAATCCACTTCTTCAATAAATAAACTATCAGCATTTGGATGCTTTAAAAGAACAATACCATATCACCCACGCCATCATCCCACAAATGAGAAAGATAAACAATTACACATAGAATGATTTCTTTTACATAATATAAATAAATGTATTTGACAAAGTAAATAAATCCCGTCCGGATTACCAGTTACCTAGAATGGATATTATAAACCCCTTCCCTTCCAATTCCTGATGTGTTTATATCTTACTTAATATACAAATTCATCTTTCCTAATTATTGTCACCTCCATTAACCAGGCAAAATTCTCCTACTATGCATTTTATTCATACGATTGTTTTATTATATTACAATTACATTTGCTGGTGGGCGGCTTATGCTCCTTTACGAGGGCTAACAAACAGAAGTAAGTATTATTATATTGATAATAACTTGACACTTTACTACAAAACATTCTGACGTTTATTAAATGATCTTTTTAATTTACAAATAACACTATCTTGAGGTACTTATATCGTAACAGATGATAACGTTCATCATTTTTAACATATAACATTGTTAAACTGATTCACGCACGCCTTTACGTTGGTCTTAGTAAAATATCACAATAACTATGAACTTATAACTGTAGATCTTGATGATGAAGTTATTGTGAAAACAATCGCTTACTCAAATATTCTTTGTTTTTGAAATAAATAAATGCTCAAAGTAAAAAAATATATAGAGAGGTGATCCAATAGGAATCGAGAGAGGAACCAACTTTTGGGAGAATTTTTTCGAAATCAATAACTTTTTGGCATGATTATAATTTACGAACCAAGATAAAGAGTCTTGTATTTTGGTGCAAAATTTATTCATCCACATGGTTGAATAGCATCTGAGCATTATAGCTGATGTCATTTGGTGATGAAAAGTTCTACATCAATTCCTAACCCTAACGTGTAATCTGAATACTACTTCCTCACACTAATTTATAACTCTCTTTAAACATTAATAAGTAGATAAATTTTATCAAAATGGGGATTTGTGGAAACTGTAGTAATTTTAACAGTTGAATTCATGAGTCAATTTTGGCTAGACCACCAGTGAAAACCTAGACACTTTGAACTCCTGTTTCGTCTTAGTATGATACTCCTCAGCACTGCGCATCCACGATCGCGTACGCGGGAATAGAACCCAGGAACTTCGGTCTCGCGTGAGGGATCGTGTATGCGCAGTGCCGAGGAGTGCCCATACTAGGGCAAAACAGCCGTCCAATGCTTTCAGGTGAATCACCTAAGCATCGCCCAATTGATCGTTCGAGAAATTAACCAATAGTGAACAATATTTAGTGGTCATTTTATCATTTGTTTTCTAAATTAAATTTCACGTAACACACACGAGTCAATCAGTTCAGCGTCTTAGTTTATGTGTAGTGAATTTGTATGGAAATCCTCCTCTTAATAAGAGAAACCTGGTGAAATAGGTAAAGAATGGTACAAATAAATTAACGATCTACATATCAATATGAAAACATTATTGAATCTTAAATCATTTCATTATTGTAACTCATCAATAAAAGGTGTTGATGATGAAGTAAGATTCAGAAAGAAACCTCAGATGTGAATAAATTTGTACTTAGATTATTGAGGTAGCCGCTTAGTGATTACGATGTTTAACTTACAACCATTTAGTTGCTTTCACTTAATACAGCTTGAGTAACTGGAGAATATCACTAGGTCTTTATTACATAATGTGTAACTCATTCGTAGCAAAGTACACGAATTTGTTACTTATGCGTTTTATCAATGAAGTCTACAAACATGAGATCGGAAAATTGATATAATAAGGCCTTGAAAAACTAATAAATTTCCTATAATCATAAAATTATATTAATTTTGATTTACGAAAACCCTCCAATGATTGGTTGAAAATAAGTTTTAAAATTACGCGGTAATTTTGAGAACCATTTAAGCTCTTCTCTACACGTTCCATATGTTACCAATATAAGTGAAGTATTTGAGAAAAAATAAGTGATATTCGTATGCCAACTAGGTGACTATTAAATGGATAAACATTTTCTGTGAAATCGTTCACCAACATTGAGTGTGAAAGTTATTGCCTTGTAGCAATTATGATATTGAGTAATTTCACACTCTATACATCACACATTACAACTAAGAATATGGACAAACGATGATTACAGTATTACTGACCGTCGCCGCGATATCGGAAGGTTGTAGTAAGATGGTACCTATAACTAGGACAAAATAGATGTCTTGTGCTTCTTGCTTCATGGACTGATGTCACATTTTCGTTAGGTATATGTGATACGTACCATTAACCACTTTATTTGATGAAGATTCACAATCTTATCGACTGACTTATTATCTTTGCCTAATAAACTGCACCTAGCCTTATAGCATTATTCAACATAATAGTCCCAATTTAAGCAAGAAATCAGTTCGAAACCAATTTATGAATAAATTAAATGTCGATTAACAAATAGTTAAGCACACATATATACATACAGACATACATATTCACATCTAAACAACCGTAATAAAACGAAATGATCCGAAGAGAGAAAGCTAACCGTTATTATATTACTCACTATTTTAACTGATAAGATTAAGCCAACTCGTATATCCAAACGATTTGGATTGAGTTCATCAATTGAATTCACTGGTAATGATGGTGATGACAATTTACTGCCGCTTAATTTCGGGGCAACTGGAAAAAAAGAGATATAAGGCAGTAGATAACAACACGAATAATAATAATAATAATGAGATCAATCATTATATTCAATCACCTCGAGTTACTTTTAATAAATAAGTCTTAGAAAAAATAGGCAATAATATATTGTAATAAATTACCATTTTGAGATTCATGCGGCTAACTGCCTTGCTCCTAGGACATATTTTCTTTAGAACATAACATATACATTAGATCTGATATATTTTTATTCTAATATATAATTTCTTGTTATTTTTCCAAAGAGCATAACGTGATGTAGAAAATATACTAATCACCACGATGGTTCAATGTCTCAATCTAGCAATAATTGTAACTAACCGGTGTCACGTGTTTGCCTAGCTTTTAGTGTTGATCGAATGCTAACGATCAAGTTACGATATAGCCCGCAACTTGTCCAAGGAACTCGACAAATCACGCACACTATGTTGAGATGTTAAGTGGCTGGAGGCAGTCAACCATAAACTAAGAAGCTGTTTTGTGCGAATCGGTACGCATCAGTAAAGCCTACCACAATCAGCACAATGAAAGGTCAGTAGTTCCTTTAAGGTTGCAGGTACAATCTTGCCGACTAACACCAGCTAAATAACAAAGCAGCAATAATTATCTTCGTGAAAAGGTCCAAACTAATTATAAGACCTTATAAGCCGAGATGGATGGTGGTTAACAGTAAGATCCAGGACGCGCATTCTGTTCCTTTTGGGACTAATCAGCTGGGTTTACCTGCATCCCGTAGTCAATATTTACTCCAGGACTTAAACCCAGTACCGTTCACTTCAAATGCCACCGCGTCATCCTACTTAGCTACCGAGTCCAGATAGCGACTGGCTTGTGAAGTGGGTCGATCAGATACATCCAGATGACGATCCCCCCTAATACAAATGAGTTGATTATAAGACCGGTTAAATACAAATTAGGTGTTTATACTGTATAATTAGTCATCTCTTTCAAAAGTCTCTACACCAATGTCTGTTATCTATCCGAGAGCCGTATTCAAGAGTTTAGTGAAGTACTACAAACTCGCTCTACATTTGTCGCTTTAGAAAGATTTTTGACGTGCGTTTATCCGGGGACTCTGAGGCCTTTTCGTCTGGTTTTGCTGGAGATGTTGTCACACTAAGCGATAGAGAGGAAGCACCACTGCTCGACTGGATCTTCATTAACAATCTGTTATGTGTTATTAGATTAGAAAGTTCCATCAACGTATGAAGAAATAGGTGTGAGAAACTATATCTTTTCGTCATCTCCGACTACACTCAAAATGATTGCAGCCCGGATACGATCATGAATGAGTTTTACCACCAGTTAAATTTCCTTCTAATGAAAGTGCGTTCAACAGATATCGTGGTACTAGACGGAAGCTTGAATGATCAGGTCGGGCGTCTAGGCACAGAAGACAGTTGTCTAGGTGGTTGATGGAGACTTGTTCATCGCAGGTCAGAAAACGGTGTCCGTCAACTAAAACTGTGAGCAGACCATAACCCGCTTCTAGCTAGCACTAACTACCGGCACAGTCATTAGCACTGAATTCGTGTGTGAGCTGGGATATTTTCCAGCTGCCCAAATCGAAGTAGGCGGTTTTACTAGGGGGCCACGACCCGAGCGTTTGACCTAAAGAACTAATCCACAAGGCGGTGAATCAAAGCTAAAGGATGCAGTCTAATGGTAGTCAATGATCGACAATAAGTTTATACGCCACTTATTCCATCAGGATCTTGGAACACATATGTACCATTGGCTTGGAATCATGATTTTCTAACTACCCTGAGTGGGTTCTCCGAACCCACTAATCCGTTTTGGGCGCCAGACATTTGCTTTTCGTCCTCTCGATTTTGTAATCAACATCGCTACGGCAAAAAGGCAGTGAGTAGAAAGAGATTAGACATAATGTTCACATACTATAATCTATTATGTTGTTGGCTAATTGATTTAATAGATACAGATTCGTGTACTTGCTATTAAGCTACACTCTATGTATGACTTTGAAGATCAGTATAGTTATATTCAGCTTTTAACTGAAATAAGTCAATTTTTAGTGAATGAAGACTTGGTATGGAAGACTAATTTATTCACTGAATAGAAATTTACAGAGTGTTTTGACAAAAATATGAAAACCATACATTGAATACATTATTTAAACATCTTCCATCAGTTATCTTTTACATACTTCATGATTCTTTCAATTGAATCTTCTCAATCTCCGGCTAGTAAGCATTCCATTTCCGATTACGGCTACATACTACTTACATGTGTCAACATAAATAGTATAAACCACAGATTCAGATGATCAACTTGTAACCGAATCACTAAAATAAAAGTCAACTAATCTAATTGCATAATTCATTATTAACAATATTTTTCAATGAAATAAAATCACGCTTACTTTCTTCTGGTTTACAAGAACCTTCAGGAGATACAATCTGCTGCTGCTGATGTTGTTGTTGTTGTTGCTGATGGTGATGATTATCGAGATTTGGCTTATGTTCAGTATTATTTAACATTGAATGATTTTTTGATAATTTATTATTTATTTTATTCTTTTGAGATTTACTTAAAGGAAATGCTTCATTTAATAATACCATTAATTCATTCCAATCTGGTACTGATTGTTTAAGTCGATTAGCTAAACTATCAGTATTTTGTATTGATAATAAATATTCAACAGTTGGTTTTAAATCAGCTGGATGTAATGTACCATCAGAAAAGTATTGTTTTAATAAATCCCATTCATTAAGTGTAGATGATTGAGATTTAATATGTAATGGACCACCATTTTTCTCTGAACGTGGAATAATAAAAGGTTCTAAAGTAGAAAGAAAGAAATACAAGAGAATTAACCACGAAACAGTCGAAAATTACCCATCAGTCAGTCAGTCAGTAACAACGTAGAACTTCGTACGTACGTACATCAGTTTGAGTTGACATACCACATTAGCACAGAGATACAGTTGTTGATTCAAATCCCATATTGCTAGAGGTAGTAAAAGTATGAGCAGTAATCAGAACTATGAGGGTTTGAAGATGTTATTCAAGTAGTATAATACAGTGAAGTAAATTTGGAAACATAAAAGAAAGGGACAGGAAGAATTCAAAAGATTATAGTTTGGGAGAACACAAAGAGTTGACGTACCTGCTCCATTGCAAACGATTTTGAGCCATGTCATTCAACGTCCCTAAATATGGATTGCTATTATCTCGCGGATCCCAACCAGGTAGTCTACACCTACCAACATGGCTCAGTCCACTTGCCAGTGACTTCATGGATTTGTGCCATGTTTTGATCTGGCCGCCCCCAGCTTTCTTCCAACCTGCACTATCCTACACCATAAAACATCGCACGCCAGGGCAGTCGGTGGTTGGGCATACGTAACACATGTCCCAGCCATCTCAACTGATGAAGTTTCACTACGTCATCAATTGATTTACCATCCTTACTTAGTACCCGTTTCCTAACAACTGTATTGCTTACTCAGTGGTCCCAGGATATACGAGCAATGTTTCGAAGACACCTACGATCGAATACTAGTAGCCTACGAATATCCTCTGCTCTCACTGGTCACGTTTCACTGCGCAGTCAACCCATCCTTTGACGGGTAGACGGATATCTCGCCTACGTCATAAGTGACGCAAATTGGCAAAAGCTAGTCGAGCATTCTGTATCCGTGCTGAGATTTCGTCACAAATCAGGCCAAAAGGGCTGATGAGACTCCCAAGATAAGTGAAGCAGTCGACACGCTCAACTATTTCACTCCCTATCATAAGTTTGGGCGACGATGCAACCCAATCCTGAAGCAACATTTTGCATTTCGAGGGGGAGAATCGCATCTCGAACATGCTTGCATTGTTGCTTATAGTAGTCAGAAGACTCTGTATTACCCATAGTATAAATTGAGAAAAACATACATAAATATAAGTGAACAGTTACATCTGTATCCAGGTTCATTTACATATACACTAATTAAGGCGATTTATGAGTTAGAGAGTATATCAACTTAGATAGTTTGGAAAGATTTGACAAAATAAACACGCAGTTAGGTTTTATTACACTGAATTGATAAAGGTCATATTACGTAGACAAAGTTAAAGGATTCAAAGTGGTATATTGTAAAACTTATCGGGTTCGTTCTCATCTCTTACATATAATAAACACCATAAGGATTCGAGCTAACAACCTTAATTGTTGTCTTCAAGAAACAAGACTTTTGTAATATCTGTTTCCCCTCGTTGACCGAAAAAAACCCAACAGATAATATTACTAATTCTTTCGATTATTTGTTTTTTTCTTCACCGTTTTCATACTCGGACTGACTATTGACACATTTCTGATCACGTACCATTTAGTGATTTTTATTTTGACAACTTGAATAGTTGTTCAGGTTTTGAGCATGTTATCATACTGTCTATAGTTCAGGAATTTACTAATCAACCGGTTACATTAGTGTCGATTTGTACATCTTACTGATTATGATAAGGGAATTTTTAGAGATAGTTGAATTTTCAGTCTAGATCACGAACTGATTTTAGTGAGTTGAAAAGTTTGCAGCGATGGTTGGCTGTTCCATGTGAGTATGAGAGTCCCAAGAAGTGTGCATCACGATCCTTCCGTCCAGGAGTTGAGCTAACTCTTAACCTCTAGACCACTCAGCTGGTATCATACAGTGTAAATGTCGAACTTCAATCAATTCATGATATTTAGCAATTTCCATCTATAGCCTATGGTGGGTAACTGCCTCACACCCGACATGGATTGAGCTACACTGATCACGGCTTCTCATTAGAACTCTTTTCTTTTGTTACCATTGTTCGATAAATTGATTTCGTTGGTGTAATATTTCTCATGTATGCAGCATATAAGTACTAATATGAAGTGTTGGTTTATTGGTTAAAACGTCCTAATTTCTGCTACTAAAGTCGCAAGTTCGAAACCCGCTCCAGTTATTTCGGTTTTGGAAACCGGGTAGTAATACAGAGGTTCGGCATCGTGTGTTCGGGCACAGAGACGATAATGCAATCGGTGTCACCATCTTGAAACACCGACTTCGGTGGCTTGGACATGTTCTACGAATGTCGTCCCAGAGAATTCCACGTCATGCATCAGTTACCGACGCTGGGACTGGTTGGAAAAAGCGGAGAGGTGGTCAGTGTGTGACATGGTGTCGGGTGTGAATGAAAGCTGCAAATGACTGGCTTGTGTTGGACCTTCACGACTCCCTGGCTGGGGTCCTAGAGATGGTGCAGCACTGGCTAGAGACGTTATCAGATATGGCTCAGAATAGAAGCTAGTGGTGATCCTGCTGTAACCTTCTTTTACTTTTTTCATAAAAAATGGTTGTTTCTTCCTTAACTGAAAGATTTCTTCTGACTGTACCTTTCCGTTTCCCCCATTATTACTATTATTATTATTACACTACCTTACAGTAATCTGTTCGTTATTGTTCTTTTTTTTAACGCTCCTTACATTTTTTTCTCTTCGAATTCTCATTGTTTTGTGTGGCGCATATATATTTGGTGCCCTCTTGTACCAATATTTATGTGTTCAAAACAAATAAATAGTAGTAAATATACAAGTAACCTGCGTACTTTTCACCTTACCATTTTTTTGTTAACATTGGAATATAATAAGTACCGTCTATGTAAATCAATTTTCTTCGTCAAATTATCTTTAATGTTTTTTTTGGTTGATTCAAGTACAGGTTAATGTACTTGATTATTTTTGTGTAACAATTAGTAATAACAATCAGTGCACTAAATTGAAAAAGAACAGTGGGTTTTCAACTAATAAGTTGCACGTTTGAATCCAAGTTACATTTGTATCAGTTTAAGGAAGTTGATTAGTAATAATAATAGCTCTTACCTATAAAAACACTGCTTACCGTCATGTAAATGAACTTGTATTAGGTATATGAGACGGGGTTCGGACTTGTGACCTCTCATTACGTAATATAATATTAAGATTAAAAAAAGTTAGCAAAAGGATAAAGAGACAGACATGATCTAAACATTATACACACATAAATAATACCTCCAGGCGACAAATCTGGAATTAATACCCAACGGCATATATCCAATATAGGATTTATATCAACATTATTCGGTTGACAAAATGCACGTTTAATTCGACGTTTTAAACCAGACAGTGGGGATTTTTCTAAGGATCCAGGTAAAGGTGGTTCAATTAAAGGTAGATAATTATCTTCAAGCAATGCTGCTAGTGTTTTAGCCGATGCTGGTCCTGTACAGCGAGATGATAAAGGACATGATTTCATTGGAGGAAATGATGATAATTCACCAATTTGATTAGTTGGAGCTTGAAGACTAATGAGTATTGGATGTGTAAGATGGATAGTTTCAAAAGAATTAGGAAAATGACGTAGGAACTGTAAAGAAAAATACAAATTGTATAGTGAGCAATTTTATAAATAAAAAGTCATACAAACCGTCTATAAACTTCAATAGTAATAATAAAGTGTTCAGTCAGTCAGTAACAACGTAGTACTTTGTACGTACGTACATCAGTTCGAGTTGCCATACCACATTAGCACAGAGAATAATAATGTGTTAATTCTGTACAGTTCAAAACTTGTCGTAGGTACAGGAAATCTGAGATGTGTTACCATCAGGGTTGATCTTTTCTAAATGCCTCCTTTTTTTGTAGAAGAATACGATCGTGCTACATAATGGCTATTTGAGAGAAATACATTGCAACCATCATACTTCAGTAGTATAAGTTGATCCTTAGACCACAAGTTTACTGCTTTCAGCATTGCAGTTGTCCAATGAACTTGTATAATATGGTGGAAATATTAATTCATTACATTTAACACCTTTAATACTTTTAATTTTCGTGACAAAAAACAGCTTAATCCATTCACGCTATAACCTAATGCTAACTTACTAATTTTATACGGTTTTTATCTGTATACAAACAGTCTTTTATTGTTATCGCTTATACTGTATAAATGAGTATTATACTCTTTCTATTACATCATCATGTCTATTCAGATCGTTTTGTCAAACTTTATGTTTTTAATACTTAAATGCGAATTTAATATCTATCAACTCAGTAGAAAAAGATAAATAGTAATTTGGCATTTGAAACCATAGATATTTCCCTCTAAAAAATGGAATTAAACAGAAAAACATGCAATGGGTTAAACTTTCTACTTCTAATTTCGATTTTAAAATTGTCTAAGTTTGAGGCTTACACTATTATCAGTATGGAGATTTGTGGAGATAGTAGTATCTTCACAGTTGAAATCACGGGTCAATCTAAGCTAAACCATCATTGTCGGCCTAGTGATCCAGAGGCTAAGAGTTTGTTCGCGAGACCGAAGGTCCTAGACTCGTGTCTCGTGTGTGGGATCGTGGATGCGCACTATCGAGGAATCCCATACTAATACGAAACGGCCGTCCAGTGCTTCTATGTTTTAAATAGTGGTCTAGCTTGTGTTATTGTTGATTGTTACCCAATGCTCTTAATAAAAGTGTAGTGCGTATGGTTGCTAAGTTGTTAGCCCCGATTTTTTTTCTATTTTCCAGCTCTCCTCACCACACACAACTCTGCATGCTCCCCTAGTATACAAAGTACTTACAAGTTAGACGTGAGCCTCTAAAAAAAAACCAATTTTGATGAGTATCTGTAACAATAAGAGATGCGAATTTCAGCTTCTAACTATGAATAAAGACTGAAATATTGAACTTGAGTATGTTTCAATTAGAAACATACTTAAAATCATAAATTAGCAGGGATGAAACTCACAAGGAATATTATTATTCATATTAACACATAGAACACAATCTCATATGTAAATATACAAGAGAAAATAAACGAATAAAAGCACTTATTAAAGTGAATTAATGATGATTAGTAGAATTTAAGTGTGTTTCGTCCAATCTAGAACTCATCAACTGGATGTACTTGCGCATTTTTTTCTAGTGTTCAAAGATTGAGAACACAAACCCAATACATTCAAACACCCAATATATTATTTACTAAACAAACTACTGAGACCTAAATAGTAATACTAGGACAATCAACACAAGAAGTATAATGTACACCAATTGAATTCAGTAGTAAATATCATTATTAATGAAAAGAATAAGTAATAAAAGTAAACATATTAAAGAACAATGTAGTGAATACAAATATATATTTACTTTAGATTGAAAAATTTGACGTTTTTGTATTTGTTGTATACTAGCCAAACGAATATCTGCAGATAATTGTATAGTATCAATTAAATCTAAACAAGGTATTAATAATTCACCAAGTGTAGAAGGTCGAATAGATGAATCATTAATTAGTTCATTATTATTATTATTAGCATCAAGATTATGATTTATAGTTGATTGATTTGTATTGTCGAATTCAGATAATTTACTTGATATTAAACAATCTGTTTCTGGAACTAAACTCACTAAACGATAGAAATTTAACATATATCCCCTGAAACAGATATAGAGAATTAGGGTAAAGTTTTTGTTTGTTTGTTTAAGGAACAATAGTAATAATTTTAAACTTGTTCACTGTTGAAATCACGAGTCGATCTAAGTTAGATCATCATTGAAAACCTGAAGACACTCGACGGTCATGTCGTTCTAGTGTGCGACTCCACGGCAGTGCTCATCCACAATCCTGCACATGGGACTCAAACTTGGAACCTATGGTCTCGTATGCGAACTTTTAACCTCTAGATCACTGAGTTGAGTGCGATTTCAATCAACCCAGGATCTTGAGCAACCTTTCATCCATTATCTGAGTTGATCATGGATTCTAGTAAGAAGCCGTAACCAGTGGAGTCCAATTCGTGTCGAGTGTGAGACAATTTTCCACCTCAGGCAATGGGTGAAGGGTTGAACAACATCATGGATTGATCGAAGTTGGACATTAACACCGTTGAATGCCAACTCAGTGATCTGGAGGCTGAGGTCGAGCGCGAGATCAAAGGTTTCGAATTCGAGTCCCACATGCGGGATCGCGGATTCATGTCAATTTGTATACTAGGAATTGATGATTTTCCAACGTTTGAATAAAGAATGAGGTGAATAGGTATTCCAGCCTCGATGATATAAGGTAATTGATAATTTTATTTCGCTATATGACTATCCGTTTTACTTATTTTACCTATCAAGTATGCTGATATTGACTGGACAATAAAAATTTCTTCTGCCTTGTAGTTAGTACAAACAGAATATGAGAAAAAGTGACAGATTTACTATGTACTATCGTATGTTTTATGACACAAAACATATACAATCACAGCATATTATAAACAGGGACTCGTCATTTGTGATGTCAAACTGTTGAGTAATAAAAACATGATTAATTTGTTATAATCTGAGTGGCTAGATGTATATCAACAGTTAGTGAGTTAAATGAAAGCTGACAATTGGGATATTATAAAAGTACCACAGAACAAATAGCTAATAATTAAGTTCATTTATCCTAGACTCAAGTGTTGCATACAAACAACCAGCTCTTGTGAACTGTTAGAAGAGAACCAAAGAATCGTAACTAAGTTGATTCCCGGAATCGCAAACCTACTGCAAGATGAAAGAATGGCTAAACTAATTGTATTCCCTTTTTTATATAGAAGGACTAGAGAGGGTTTAATCAGTTTTTAAATTACTTAATAATAATTTTGCATCGGATATGCTCTAATTTTTCTTGTATTCTAAAACAGGAAATTTATGAAAACACTTTTTGAAAGTTCATAAGCTACGAACCAATTAATTGTCAGTTGACTATCGACTTTTTCATAGTGTCATCAACAAGTGAGACTCCTTAACTGAACAGATGATTGAATCACTATCTGTCGATATGTTCAATAGACAGTTGGATCAACTTAGAGACTCTTGTGACTATGATTAACACAAGTCACTTAGCTTCTTATCTTCCACAAACTGAAACTGAGTGAATAGCTTTCAAAGTTCCACTTTTTCACTTATTCATTCATATCTAACAGTAATCCATACAGTTCGGGTATTTTCAATGTATCTACACATCTGGTCTTTCACAATCATTATTACTTCAGTGTTATTTTTCTCGTATCAAGTTTCTAAAAATACTGGATAGTTGAAGAATTCTATCCGCTTGACTACACAGGTATCAAATGCCGATTAAATCTATTCGGAACTATTATAAGACATAAACCGTGAATAACCGAGTCGTCTAGTGACTGAACTCTCAAAGATATAATCAAAGTAAATCATCATTTCTGTTTATAAAATAGCAAAACCGCGGATGTTGTTGTGGGGAGCTTGTGCCGTATAGTCGACATTACGAAATAATCTATTGAAAACTAAGAGGCACTAGACAGATGTTTTGTCTTAATACAAGACTCATACGTTCTGCACATCCATGACCCCGTCGGTGAATCAAATTTAGGATCTCCAGATTTCGCGGTGAACAAGCCAGCGCATAAAATTTAGGCTACTGAGTTAAGATCGGGCGATTGGAAATATACCTTCTGGTTTTTAATGGTTTTGTCTTAGTAAGATTAGCTTATGATGTAAATTAATAACAATTAATTCTGTCTGTTTAGTACAAATACCACAAAATAGAAAAAAAATTATCCATTAATAATCAGTAATAACTTACGAATGTAATTGAAAATCGCTACCAAGTATACAGCTAAATTGATTCAGGTTACCACCAAGAGCAGTGAATAAGCCAGTTAAAATTACACGACAAAATTCACCACGTTGTTTAATCACATCCCATGGAATGGAACCACGTAAATGAGCTGAGATATTGTTAATTAATACAATGACCTGTCATTAGAACAGAGTACATAAATGAGTACAAGAAGCAATAGCATTAAAAGAATAACAGTCTGACAAACGATTTAGGTTATTCAGATCATCTTATTCTGGTGTAAAAGTTTCATTATGAACCGTATAGGAAGTGGTAACATAATCAGTAAAAATAATCATTAAATTTCTATTTAGTTACAGTTAATTTCCCAGGCACTTTGAGCTACATTCTGAGTATAAGAGGTAATGATGCTACCCAACACTATTGCCCAAATAAAAGTAGGTGTATCGGGGTTCGAATTTATGACTTAATGGTCAAAAGTCCAAAATCATAACCATTGTTTTACCGCACAACTGTGTTGTAGAATCAAACTAACCTATCATTTAGGACAGCTCATGCGTTTAAGCCACCTGCTTTCCAACTACGCAAATATTCCAGTTAATCCACTGGTTTTAAAAATGTCTGAACTGAATAACTATGAATGTTAACTGCATGTACTCACGAGTTATTGAAAAAAGGGTTACAATTTTTTTGGAATGTTAAATACTGAAAAACCTAAACAGAAAGTTTGAAGTTCCTGGTATATTCCCCTTTCTATTAAACCATCTTACGAATGATGGATGGAAAAAAAGTTGTAGGAGTCGTTTTTTTCTATATAGTGCTGAATCGTCGCAGTATTTTCGTAATTAAATTATTTAGTTCAGAGAAAACAAAACCATCAAAAGTATTCGTCTGAACTATAAATAATCTCCGACATTTCATCATATCATATTACCTTTGAGCATAAATTATGGTAGTTTTCTATATCAGTTGTTATGTATTTATATAGGTATATTGCGTGCTGATCTTATCTGTTAATTGAGACAATAATAAACGCCATTATTATTATTATTGCATACGCTGTTACGTAACAACTAAAACATTATAATTTTGCATTTCGAAAAGCACCGGCTCTACAACAATCATGCTAGATTTGTGTGCCTAGACGAAAACGTTTTTATTTATATTGTATTCCGTCAGTAAAATTGTAATAAGCGAGGACATTTGATTAGAACAGAAAAAACTTACATAAACACCATCTAATCGTGATAAACGAGCAAGTGATCTCATCGGGATTGAATGGCCAAGATGTGGTAAACCAATCGGTGTAACTGACCATAAACATCGTAGGCGATTAGTTTGATTAAGACGTTTCTCCAGAAGTGATGTACATCCCTAATAAAAAAAAACATTTTGTTAAAAGTAAAAAGGTTAAGTTTTTTTTCAATGTGAGGTAAAATATATTTATTTATTCAACTCATTTACCAGGTACAAATTTGACTTGTATGCTTGTCTCAGTGCTATACTTCAGAGTGATGAGAGCCAGTGATACTATCCGGTTGTGCAAACGATAGTACATACAGAGGAGTTAGAGGTTGTAACTTAGTGAGGAGGGAGGAAGTCGAGCACCCTATCCGGATTCATTTCACTCCATATTCATAGTATCAATAACGTACAATTTTATATAATTTACACCTGAGCATACTGAACATATATTTTTCAAGCGGCCTTCATATCCCACATATTATCCGTTCGTCTTACATTCAAACTCCCCAATTTAATAAATGCTGTTGTCATTATATGCTTACTAGTGACTAATTTTGAAAGGCTATTTTCCAAAAGTTCTTTCTGATGAGAAACCACACCAAGTAGAGTTCAACCATGTCTAGTTTTGGGTGGCAGTTGCCTATCAATATTATTGAAAGATGATTGCATAATATTGAGAACTGAATTACGTTAGGACGACAATCCATTAGATTTTAATTCAGTAGTAGTGTTAAACGCTATTCACGAGACCTGAAGAGCCTAGATTCGTTTCCTGGTGCGATCGCGAATGCGTATTGTGTTGTGAAGTCCAATACTTAGACGAAATAGCTATCCAATATCTCTTATTTTTTAATGGCTGTCTAACTAACATTAACTTATGACGAAAACTAACAGATAAACTAGAAAGCTAAAGAAGATGAATTCAACGATTATGATAAAAAAGAAGCAAGGTTTACCACAAATTCTTTTTCAAATGAATCCAATAAATTCGAATGATCAGTAATTGTTGGCATGTCATTGACTCTGTTATCTATTTCTTGTAGAATAGTAGATTTTTCATTTGTAAACATAGTTGGAACTTCTTCAAGGTCTAAATTAGAATGTAGACAAAAAAATGTTTATATATCAATTCATAAAACACAAGTTTAGCAATACGATTTGGTAATAATTGTTGTTAAAATTTCAATTTAGAACCAGTGTCTGTTCGATGTCATTTTGTATGTTTAAGTTTCTATTCAACTCCTTCCCTCCTTCTATAAAAACTTCATCCTAAAAAGTTAGTATTTATTATACATTAATCTTATGTTGATGTCTCCTATTGTGGCGTATGCTACTTATGTTCGTAGATATAAGTAGTATGTAACACCAGTCGGAAGTGGAATGTCTGCGAGCAGAAGGTTGAGTAGATTGAAATGAAGAGAAGAGAGAACAAAACTGAAAGCAATCAAGATAAAAACAGCAAAGGAGGAACAATGAAAATTGCAGGAGACAATTTAAGGATGTTAAAGTGATGTATTTGATGTATGAATTTTCACATGCTACTAAAGCACTATGCGATTGTGTATTAAACAATAAATTGGTTTACCGCCATCTGAGTTCTCGTTCACAACACTACTATCACAGTAAACTAGTTTACAGCTGAAATATACTTTATTCGGTAGGAAACCATAAAGTAGGCAACGTTTAATTATACATAGTATGTGAGACTAATTTAGTCAGTTCACGAATGTAATAACGCATCACTGATGAACTAACACTAATTATCAAGAACCATACATATAACCTTGAAATTACTTTCTTAATGGTCTCAAAGTATTTTTGGTTATTTCATTGGATGATTTTATTACTGTTATTATTATTATTATTATTAATGGCTTTATTCAATATTAAATTTTTTGGTACAATATGGAATTCTCAGTACAAAGTATTTCGACAAGTTTCCTTTTCTTATTTCTTAATCGATTCTGACGATAAATATTAAGTAATCACCAGTTATATGTTAGCAGTTTAGGAATCGACATCTGAATCGTGTTCATTCTTTCCAATGCATATTGTCAGCCACCAAGATGTTTCTGATTGTACTTTTTTGTAGCTTGTACAGTGAAAGCTCGTAAACTTTTCATCAACGCATCTGAATAAGTTATGTGATTAATAGACATATTGATGTGTTGAAACAAACAAGAAAACAGATAACTTGTTGAAATATGTAGATGCCAGGAACAGGTATCCCAGATATTCAAGCAGGCAATCAGATGTCAAATTTGAAACCCAATAAAACCACATAGTACAGGATGATTGAAGGTCAAATAGTTTAAAGATAGATATATATACACAGTAGAGCGTGTTTTTACAGTCTGATGTAAAAAAAAACAATTTAATAAAAATAATATATTTGTAATATCCCAATGAGTAGAAAAGTAATTAAATTTTCTGAGGCTTTGTGACTCAGTGTGTTAACGGGATTAAGGCATCGTCTGTGCAGGATTGTGATGGGGTACGCTGATTGGACATTTCCTGACTAATCACTGCTAACGAAGACTCTAGAATCTTCTTATGTAGAAATTATGAATATGCTAACGTTCTTCTTATTGTGATTCCTACTTCCATCCAATGTTTTTATCTGGAATATAATTACGCTCCTGTTCAACCATGTTCTGATTTAGGGACTTGTCGAGTGAGCAGTGTCCAAGAATACTAAGCAATAGGAGTAGCTGGGCCATAATGAAAGAAATTATAACACAGTTCAAACCACTTTTTATTCTCTGAAAAAGTGGTATACACTGAGTTATGAAACGTCAGAAAATTTAAAAACTTAATTTATGTACACATTGAGATATTACAAATACATTATTTTTATTAATAACAAACTAACACCCAATGTTCAATTTATTTGAAATTTTCGAATCAAACCTTGGTAATGACACCTACAAATTTGACAGTTAGTTTTGACATCATACAATATGTTATCACCTTCACTGAATGAAATGGTTACAACGAGTAATATGTATATCCCAAACCACAGCTCGTCTTGACAATGTTTGCTGGTATAAGAGTAGGTTGGAAAAAATATAAAGGTGAACAAATCAAAACGTGGTATTCGTCCATGAGACAATTAACCATTAGTTCAAGCCATATTGACAAATGCAGACTACCTGGTTGTCGTGACCAGTAGTTGGAGATGTTAGACAAAATGGCTCGGAAACAATTACAATGGTGCAGATACATTTATTCACTCTTTGTTATAAAATACACATAACTTTTGTTTGATAAATTTGTGTTTTCTACTCGATTCATACTGTCTTTGGTTAACATTACTTCTTACTACCATTAATACAGTTGCCACTTCCATCTCTCTAGAATTTGTCTTGCTGTAGGATGTGGTACAACAACTTGAATCGAAGCATATATGTGCAAAGTTCTACATTGTTTATGACCAACTTATTAACATGTTATCCATCCGATAGTTATCGATCAGATAATCAAAATAAGTTGGTAAAAGTAAAATATAATTTGAATACAAACTACAAACAACAACTAACTTACTGGCATTCGCTGAACTAATTCCATCTACCGTAGGATATGCGTTACGTACAAGTTCTTGAAGTTTAGGATCTTTAAAATCATTTTGAATAGTCACCAACAATCCATTTAAACATTCTGTAACAACATTTCTTAATGAATCCGATGGAATTTTACTCATAAGATAATCTTTCTCTACGTCAGTATAATTAAAATAAGGTTTCGGAGTTCGAGGAATTGATAATCCTGTTAAAATGTTATCAAAGTATAAAAATCACGGTCGAATAGTTAAAAAATAAAATAACTCAGTAATAAATAAATAGATTTTTATAAATCTAGTAATTTATGTAAGGCCGAGATTGATGATGACAATTAACTCAGTTACTATGATATTCATATTTCTTTAACTAAACACATGAACATTGGTACAAAGGGGAATCAAAATACACATGTCCCAAACAAAGTAGTTGTCAATAAATTCATATGTGGACTGATATAATGCCCGGGTGCCTGAACCGAAGCAAGTACTTTTACCAGGGAACCACAAACCTAAAGGCCTGGTCCACAAGACAGTGGAGCAACGTTAGACGATGCGGTCTCATGTTAGCCAACAATAGATTCATACGTCGTTTGTTCCATTAGGATTCAGGAGCACATGTGTACCATTGGCTTGGAATCAAGGTTTTCAAACTCCCTCAGGTGGACCCTCCATATCCACCAACCCGGTTAAAGCGTCGGACATTCGCTTTTCATATCAATTTCGTAAACAACAACCCTACCGCTAGAGGGCAGTGAGTAGGACTTCCCTGACAGTGGCTATATACGCGTGGCCATATGAAATTTTGAGAGGGAGAGAGGACTATTCCTACCTTCGGCCGTAGCAGAACATTCGGGGGCTGAATAAAATAAGAAGTGATTGATATGTCATCAGTGAAGGAATGAATGGATATTTTATTGTTGCTGCAAAGTCCTTGTATTGAGAACACTGAATGAATAAAAGAATTTACTGTCCGTTTATTTTTGGTGAAATTAAATGACCAATTGATGACATAATTATCTTATTTATTACAAAAACCAAGAATTATCTCCAAACAGTGGATTACAAACGAAGTACACAGGTCTAGCTCAGCTAATCTTTTTTGTTGCTTTGAACAGTTGATTATTGGCCTGTGCATCTATCTGGATGATGTGGGTTCAAATGCCAATGCAGGAGAATCAGTTTCCTATGGACTAACGGTACATCTACCTTGTTGATAAATTAACTAGTGTGGATAGTAGGTTAAGGAACGTCTACTGACGAAGACCTCCAATAACCTGCTAATCATCTCAACATAGTAAGATATCAAGTCATTCAGATTAGTGTGGCCACATTGCATGGAGTTCGACAGAATCTGATTAGCACTGAAAAATTATCAACAAGTATAAAAGACAGAATGATTCAGCGTAAATATCAACACTGGTTGATCATTTATCAGTAATCAGCGTCATGTTTGTCTAGTTCATTGGTAGTGATGATCGTGTTTAAAACTCAACCGTTGACAAATGTATTGTTTACAGAAAATTCGAAACAATCATAATATAGGTACCGAAATATTCCACTAATGATCACTCTTTTTCTTCATAAAATCATCCGTTAGAGCACGGATATACTTATGACTTTCTATTACCTGCTCAATAATCGAGATGAGTGGATCAAAAGCCTTTGGGGTCACAATACGAGCTTTGTAATGTCTATTCACTGAATTGACATTCCGATCTATGTACCTGCATGCACATTCTAATACCGATAACGTAGGTTGAGATATAGCAACTAGTCTAAATAGTATGTTGGACAATGTTTGATATTTATTGATTTGCCACTATCGGTGCTTAAAAGCTCGTCCTCGTCCAGGTTTTGTGCTAGTTACCTTGCTGGCAATACGAGGTATATACAGTTCTGTGTAAACTTATACTCCCTGTGAGATTCAAACTCAGGTTATTCAGTTTTAGAGGAGTTAAGGCCAAGCTAATTTCTAGCATAGCTCCTGGATGATTTCCTTCAACTCTTGTAAAGACAATTATCTGATATAGTTGACAAGTGCAAAACATAGATGTTGAATTTCAACGTAAAACGAATCGTTATTTTGCAATACAGAAAAATAATTTCAAATGAGAAATCGAATAATTACCTGTTCTCATTGGTACTAAAGGAAATATAACATATTTTAAAAATGCCAAAACTCCATTGCCTTGTTCAGCTGTCATATTCGGTGGACAAACAGATGATGCTAATTTACTGGCAACAAACTCCGGTGGGTCAAGTAGATCAATTTTTGAATCGATTTCCGAAGAGGACATCTTTCCCCCTGTCAATCCTGGAACCATTGGATTCATTAAATGTATTCGTTTCTTATGACCAAGATGAGGTAAATACTATAATAGGAATGAAATTGAAAATTTTTTTAAAATTAAATATGAAACTTTTATTCAATCATAATAAATACTCTCCATTCTTTCAATGTGAAATCTTCATAATATGATTAAAACAGTTGTAACTAACCGATAAAATTTACTCTCTGTGATCATTAGTATGACTTTTTCGCAGAGATGCTATTTCAAAGATATAAACTTCGGTATTTTTAGAATCTGTAGACTGGTCCATCGATCTTCAGCCAGTCAGTCTGTACTCATTAGATAATGTAAAGTCTATCACACATATGAACCGGTTCAAGTTGTCACACTAAATCAGCACAGCGAAATAAAATTATCAAGTGAGTATTACAGTAGCAATATTGACGGCAAAAAAAGATTAGGAATAGAGAATATGGTTATTTGAGAGGAAAGAATGAATTCACAGAATAAAATGGTCTGAAGTAATTTTGAAACTCCGGGTGTGAGAGATGAATACAGCTGTTCCAGCGTGACTGATTCGAAGCCATATCAGTTAGTCAGCTACAACGTAGGGAGTCACATCATACATTTTAAACCAGTGGTGTCTTTGTTTATACCTTAGATCTAATTTCACCACTGCTCACTTATTGGTCTCAACATGTGAGAAAAATGGGTTCGAGGATATCTATGGTTAGGTAATAATAATCAAAGAATGTCGTCTGGTGCCTAAACGATTGTCTGATATTAATCAATATTAAGAACAAAAACAGTAGTTATATTATTAGGTTGGTAACAATTAACTGTTAGTTAGCAAATGTAACATTTTCAAACCTCGAAACTATATGTGCAGAAACTCAATATGGCTTTTTCAAGACTCACATTTTCAGAGGCTGACTACTAAAGGCAGCAACAACTTACCACACAAGTAAGTCTCAACGAGTTTATTGATGGGATCGAATACTTAAGATATATCATACAATATTATAGTGTCACACAATTACTATTATTTATTTTTTTATTTTTATTTGAACACATAAATATTGGTACAAAGGGGAACCGAATAAATAAAAGCCACACAAGTCACTTGGTTTGTGTGTGGGCTGTGATACTACCCGAGTGTTCAAATCGAAGCAGGTGATTTTCTTAGAAGGCCACACCCAGAGCCTTCGACCTAAAGACCTGATTCATAAGACAGTAGCGCAACGTCAGGAGATGCAGTCCCATGGTAGCCGGTGACCAGGATCCTGGAGCCCATGTGCACCATTAGTTTGGAGTCAGGGTTTTCCAACTCCCCTAGGTGGATCCTCCATATCCACGCCCAGGCCGCGAGGAAGTAGTGAGTAGGACTTCTGTGGTAGTGGCTGTATACGCGTGGCCATGTGGAAGCATTTCGAAAGGGAGGGCGAGCTCTACACACACTCGGCCGTACCAAGGCATTTGGGGGTCACACAAAAAATAACTAAAAGGAAATCCTGAAGTCTCAATTTTAATTCATATATATTGGTTATTTCGATCTTTCTACTGATGTACAGTACTGCAACTGATCAATCTCTTTTGGCATGTGTGCATCCTTTGCCTCGATACTGCCAGTGAGTCACAAGTATCTCTAAGCAGAGAAGGTCGCTAGCAGTGAAATTCAGTGCACAAGTCAGTGACTGTCTGGAATAAGTATATATATACTGATGTCTCTTTGTACCAACACATATCTAAATAAATAAATTATAAGGAAGTGTTAATCACAAACTGATCACGTTTGAGGTATCATCAGAAACCGGCAAGTATTAGACAGCTCTTTCGTTCTAGTATTGGACTCCACGCTGATGGTAATAAATGGTCATAGCTCTGTATTGCTGACTAATACTAATAGTTAAGTGTTCGTCATGAGAAATAAAGATCTAGTATTTTATCCCTGACAGGGTCGTGAGTGCACCTTGCTGAGGAATCTTAATTTAGCATAAAATAGCTACTCAGTGCCCTCCGATTAATCATTGTACCCAGATTGCGAATATAACTGACAAATTAAACCATTTTCCATAAAAATCCTTCAGAGTTCAGTATTTTTACTTTTAGTTACTTACCTTTTCAGCTAACATAAATATTTTCCGTTGATCTACACCACCGAATTGAATATCAACATTCAAATGTACTTCATCCAATGCTTGTAATAAAGGATATAATAATCCAGATACAAGTGGATTATTAACTTGTTTAACAACCTCTGCACCAGCTTTACGTGCATCATGAACTGAAGTTAAAGCCATTAAACGATATACATCCATAGAATATTCTCTACGATAAGATAATGAGAATAACAATAAGAGAAATTTTTATTTATTCTTAATAGACTTCATAAATAAACATGTATACTCAACTCCGATAAATTGTAAACCGTTAATTGCCTGCTACATCTTTCAGAGAGAATGAAGATAACCATATTTTATGCCATCGGTTAGGGTTTGAAACATAAAACACAAACTTAAGTATGCATGAGGTTTTTCGAGATGTATTGTCAATTTCCTATCCACTTCATAAAAAAGGAATGAAGAGTAATCTGCAATTGTTTCGTTCTAATAGTGAAAGCACAAAAAATAACTGACCGATGAAGTAATGTGTACTTGATAAGAACATTTTTTAAAATGCTTAGAACAGTAACGGGACTAAAACATACATACAACAAAGTTACAAAACTGTGAAGAATGAGAGAAAGGCATTGAAAAAAGTATACATATACATACTACAAGAGTAATTTTAATTAAGAACAGGGGTATTTTAAAAATGTATTTTAATGCTAATGAAAAAAGTCTATTAAGACTACTGTTCGCTTTTATTCTGAGCCATATATGATAATGGGTACAAGTCAGAGTTGAGCTATGTAAATGCGAAACGAGTAATGTATGTCATCATACAGAAATACATTATCGTTCAGATACATAGAGTTAAAGCATTCATTCAGTATTCATATTCAGAACAGTTATGTATGTTAAAATACTGAGATTAAAGAAAAAATGGTTCCTAAATAAATATTATTCGTAAGATGGAAAACTTATAACTGAAAAAAATTCAGATTTACAGTATTAGGTCAAACTTACTCAGTTAACTGGTAATCAGCTCCACGTATAAAATGCAGCCGGTCTAATGGGACACAAATTGAACGGAACATTCCTTTTATAACAGCTTCATAATACTTTGTACGAAGACAAAGCAAATACCATGGGGCCTTCATGTTATCTAGATATGCGTGTAAGTCAGCAAAGAGTACAGTGACTTTTGCACCGGTTTTCAGCATATCAGCCAACTTAATAATTGGAACAAAGTATGCTATATGAGGTCTACCAGTTGTTGCAGTACCCCAATACACAGATACTGATGAATTTGGTTTCTTTAAAAGATTTCGAAGTTCATCATCACCTACTACCTCCTGACGTGTAAATGAGAAACACAAACAAAATATATAAACATTTTAGATCAAATTATTGAAATACTATGGGACAGACCTGTCAAGTATTTTGTCGAAGGTTTAATGCTAGTCCTAATGTTATTTTTTAACTAATTTAGTTTAGATGCATATTTATAACATAATTATAAACCCGAATCTCGAAAAATATACAAAACTTTATACATTAGTAGTAGATACTAACCTGAAGATTCTGGACGAATAACGTGTATTTATCTACTTCCATATTAAGATAAATTTTCGTTAGTTGTTAACAGGGAGACTGATATACGAGTGTAGAATAAAATGAGCCGAATATATGCACTTTGCACAGGCTATAAATAAGTAATCAACCTAATTATTACATAAAAAACGATAAGGAATCAAGATATTTAATAAACTTATGCAGTACAGCAACAAACAAAATTTCAAAACAAATGAACCGGTCTGTAAAACGTCATTTTGTGATTTAAAACCGTAATGTTTAGTGGTAAAAAATACAGGGTCTAAGGATAACCCACAAGTTTCTATCTTATGTTCTACTGCTGATGACAGTCATTACAGTATTGGTCTGAATTATAGCAAAACGACATTCAGAAAAGCACAATTAGGCGTGAGTTAGGTTTTATGACGACTGTAACTCTGGGAGTATTTCGTACCGACAGACGTCGATTGCCAACTGGAATTCATATGCATCCGGATAGGCCACACGACGCCAGAACCAAGCACAAAGACAAGTTGGAGCTGACTATTCCACCTATGAACCGTCTTGGTTATTAAAAAACGTGTAAAAGACAGGGGCTATCAACTCGCAAAACCTTATATAGGTGGGCTGCCTGTCTATTCACGTAAGGCTAATACAGACAAACAGGAAGGACAAGTTCACGCGTTCCAAATTGAAAGTATAAATTGCTTATACATGAACGCCACTAGTTTACCGGATAAAATGGATGAGCTGTGTGAACTCAGTAGTGCTAATAATACTCATTTGATAGGAATATCTGAAACATGGATATCTTCTCAATTTATGGACCAGGAGCTAGCAATACCCGGGATGTCCTTGTTTCGCAATGACAGAAAAACAGGACTGGGGGCGGATTAGCCTCGAGGTGGTAGACAATCATACTGAGCACGATACGGATTCATCAAGATTGATAATCTCTTGGTTGTGAACTTGATGTACCTCTGGGCAAGATCGCAAGTATAAGACCACTCAAATTCAAGCCTTACGAACAGTGCCTCCAATCACTTAACCTTTACCTATTAGAGTATAGGCATCTTAGAGGTGACCTTCTAATGGCTTACATTATCCTTAACACTTCTGGACAACCCCTTAAACACCTACTTAAGTTTGGCTCCAATACAAACCTTAGAGATAACACCTAGAAGCTAGAGACAACATAAGAGGACGGATTCTAGGCACACGTTCTACTCCTTAAGAGTAGTCAAATACCGGAATGCTGTGCCAGTTGAGCTAGTCCAAGCGACTTATCAAGAGTCCTTTAAGATGGAACTTGACATATTCTTAAGGACTAAGGACAGGATCTCGTTATAATTTTCTACTCGTCTTTTACCGTTAAATATACCTGGGTCCTTACTTGGAGACATCGGTGATCCACAGCTACAACCTACAAAAGCCCGTTAAGCGAAAGACTCCTCTATTCCGTCCATGACTATTTGAACCATTTATATGTGCCACATTCACACCTGCGACCTGGTTTACTTAGTGTTGTAAACAGTTACTGCGAGATCTGTACGTGCTTCATGGAACCAAAATTTGCATTTGTCACACTGTATGCCACAGGTGACAGCAAAACGGCATTCAAGTCGCTTCCATGAGTTCTATATGTCTCTGTTGATATGTGAGTTGTTAGATGGACCATAGCGAGTTTAAGACCGTGGAAAAGCAATAAGCGTAAAATAGGAATGAAAAACAGGTCGTACAAAGGGATATGTCACACTTAAACTAGGCTTGGTGCGCAAAATTGTGGAAACAGAATAGTAAGCTGAGGTAAAAACCACATTCAACTATTAAATTGAGTAAAGCTTAAAAAGGAAACTAAGGAACGTTTATCTCAGAACAGGTTCTTTGTATCAAAAATGGCACTTTTTCGCTTAAGAACACAACAAAACTTTGAGAAATGGAAACCACGTGAGAACTTAACTTTCGGTTCGTAAAACAAGTGACTATAAAATTACTTGTTTGTGGTCGTCAGTCATCAAATGATACTAGTAGGATTAAATTTAAATAAGCACTTACCACCCTATGTCGAAATTAGAGCTAACTCAAATACAATAGTTACTAACACATTCCTGAACACAAGACAGAACACGCAGTTAAAATATGAGTAGCGACAGTGTTGAGATTGCCGCTCAAATAGTTCGAATGAGTGTAGAGTAGAAGAAGTTTTCGCTTAACAGGCCTTCGTGTCTAGTATCAGTGGGTCACCAATACCTCCAGACAGTAACCTATGTATATCAACGACAACAGGGAAAAAAAAGTAGTTGGTAAATCACTGTAAGACATTATCCTTGGTCAAGTTAAATTTTACTGAAGTTGACACAGGTTAAAATGTGGCTGTGAATAATTAAAGAGCGTAAGGCATAATAACTCTTGATAGAATACCTTTAGTGTTCGAAAACCTTGGTCAAAACTGTATAAGTCTATCAAGACAGGTCTTGTAATTAGTGCAGCGCCATGAGGTAGAGTGTACAGGGAGTTGTTTTTGGAAAGATACGCCTTGGATTTATAGAAAGTAAAGATTTTGCCTTAAGGTTAAAGAAATGTCTTCGGATAATATATCATGGTTTGCCGTTGTATTTGAACAGGTAATTTGTCCCGACCGTTTCTTATGTGTTCCTCAAGTGGTATTTATCAGGGCTGTCTACTGTCTTCATTCTTGCTTGACTTTACCGTAGACGAGCTTTTAGAAATAACACTTTCCTCATCTAAATTTACAGGGGTTGAACTTCTACCAGGAGATCTACTTGTTGACTTAGAATGTGCCGACAACATAGTTCTATTTGGTGAAGAGGCTGACAAAATGCAGTCTTCTGATCACTATAAGCAACAATGCAAGCATGTTCTGCATGCGATTCTCCCCTTCGAAATGCAAAATGTTGCTTCAGGATTCGGTTGCATTGCCACCCGAACTTATGATGAGAAGTGAAGTAGCTGAGCGTGTCGACCGATTCACTTATCTTGGAAGTCTCATCAGCCCTTGTGGTCTGGTGTGTGACGAAATCTCAACACGGATACAGAAGGTTCGACTACCTTTTGCCAACCTGCGTCACTTATGACGTAGGCGAGATATCCGTCTACCAGTCAAAGGACGGATTGACTATGAAGCAGTTCGTTCCGTCCTACTTTATGGCAGTGAAACGTGGCCGATAAGAGTAGAGGATATTCGTAGGTTACTAATATTCGATCATAGATGTCTTCGAAACATTGCTCGTACATGCTGGGACCACCGAGTAAGTAATGAATTCTTCGTGTCCCTTTTTTCCTCGTTCCAAATTTATGTTGCTGTATTATACTCCTTGAATAATATCTTCAAACCCTAATGTTTCCGATTACTGCTTGTACTTTTACTACCACTATCACTATAGGATTTGAATAGACAACTTCGTCTCTGTGCTAACGTGGTATGTCAACTTGAATTGATTTACGTACATACGAAGTTCTATGTTGTTACTGACTGATTGATTTATATATTGTTCCTCGAGAAGCAGTCACGCACAACGTGAAACATCGTTTAAACGTATGTGTAAACAATGCGCCTATTTACCACCTGTCTTACATGACTTATGAAAATTGAGTCGTCTTACTACTCACTGAGTTAGAGTATTAAAAAAAGATCCAGTGATTCACATTATCACTGCACCTTACATTTGCTCGACTGGAGTTGAACACTAACAAGCTTGAAAAACGTATACCCTAAGTACACTTTATTTCTGACTTCTAATATCGAAGTTCCGCAATGAAAGACCCTCAAAGATGATGGAGAAACAACAGATAATTGCAGATCATAAATTCACAAGTTGTTCGAGCTGTGAATCAACGAATAAATAAAACTGGGAAATTTTCGGAAATGTACTCCAGTAAACGATATAAATTTTTTGTTATGTGTTTAGCAAATGACAAGTGGGCTAAATCGAATAATTTCTCTCTTCCTCACTGCTTCATTTGTAATAAACGCACGTTTATTTAACTTCAGGCAAAGAACTCGTGAAAAAGTTGCCAGGTCCACACATAGTTGTTCGCTGAAACTATCGGAGGTAATGCTGCATTTTTAAGTGTCTTTTAGGTCCTATTCTTGTGGAGCATTTATTCACTTACCTCTATTGCTTTTCTCCTGAGGAACTTCTCTCTTGGGTTGGTCCTCCTTAACTTGTTTCTCATTTTGTTTGAAGTCTATTAAGAAGCATAGATAGTAGTAGCTTTGCCACCGATAACTACACCATATTTACAAAAACACGTAAAAAACCTCATAGCCATGTGTACAACATGAACCACTTAACTCAAACATCAAAACTCAGTTTCCAACAAAATAATCAGAACCACATTCCTATCCAGATTCCTACTCCCAGTAACACTAGTAAGCAGAAATAAAGCGGACGAAAAAGGCATCCTAAACTGTCCTCAACGCAATTTATTAGGGTGAAACAACACAGCGACGATAATTATATCACGCCCTCGTTGCTCACTAAAACCGAGGACTCAGCTTTTGAATGTAATTTCCGTAGTGTCTGAGTACACTGCCGCTATAATATCTAAGTTCCTAAGCAAAACCATGGGTTCATGTCAAGCCACTCCTGTCATTGGTTCCGGCATAATATGTAAAAAATATGCTAAAGAAGGTAAAAACCGAGAAACATAAAACCCTATCGGAAGCAACCGTATCAATCATCGCCAGTGAAATAAAATCGTCAAACACGTGACTGTGGGGGCCGTACCTCGAGGTCATACATCAATAAAATCGTCAACACTTTCTTATACTCTAGTATCTGTTGATTGTAAAAGGAAGTGGATAAGCGTCGGAAGGGAAAAAGCGACAGCATAATTCTCAAAAGTCTGGAAACGGCGACCAATGACGCCAGTGTTGCAAAGCAGCTTATTGGAAATAAGCTGAGCCGCTGATGCGAAATAATGGGACAAATACCGTACAATGCTGCAGAGAGTACTACTCTAGCTGAACTATTTCGTCTTTATCAGGCCCAAAGTGTAGTGAAAGGTAGGCTTCCTCTATTAAGAGTATTTTTAGATTCAACAAGTGTTTAAGAGGAAATCTTAATGACACCACAGAGACAACCGGTTAAGAGATTCTCTCACATGTGAGTTAAACATGGAAAGCCGTGGAGCATGAATAGTCCTACTAGAGGGTCAACAAAAACTCAAGAACCAACCAGCATAGTGGTCCACGAAGTGCCTGGGCTAGTAGTGGTGGAGGCTAAGAGTTGGTGACCATTGGAAAGGATGTGACTCAGGATGCTATTCATCACATTGTAGTTCAGGTAAAACACACTTGGAGTAAGATCAAGTCAAACAGAGAGCCTAGAACAAGTTACGAAGATTTTACTAACCTACAGATGGCGGAGATAGTTAATGTCAACTCCATTAACCAGTTAAAGCAAGAGACCATAATTGCCGGATGCCCCTCAACTGTAGCCTCATTTGTGGTCCGGAGAAAAATCCAGCTGACTCACGAGTTAGTATTAAGAAAATCATGACCCTTGAGTCCAGGAAAATCACGATGGTGTGACGTCGTTCCCCTTATAATACTGAAACGGTACACGTAAGCCACCAGCATGTTACTCAGCGATCTGTCAGGGCGTTCACTAGATTCACACAAGCTGACAGGAAAATAGAAGTAGGCCACTCTCTCTACATTCTCCATGAGGAGGGGTTGGAAAAGACCCAGCATGTTACAGACCAGTTGCATTACTCTCAGCATTTTCAAGGATAATTGAAGAAGTGGCCAGTGAACAAATGAGAGATTAAATAGATAAGAAGAATTTTGTCCATAAGGCTCAACACGGTTACAGAAAACGCTGGTTTGGTGCATCCAATCTTCTCATGGACGGCTGGAAAGTCGGCTGGGATCATAAGACGCCATTTTATGCAATATTCCTCAACTCTCCAAAAGCCTTTGACTCAGTGACGTACACACTCCTCATAGTGAAGGTCACAAAAATATGGTCCTGAAACCATCTAAAGAACTTGATGTTTCGTACTGAAACGAGTAGAGTACTAATGGGCTGGAACGCTTCAACGTCAGGAGTTTTACAAGAAGCAGTCTTAGGTTCACCATCGTCCTTGATCCTTGATAATAACCTGTTGCATAATATCAGCTCAGTGGCACTGATCTATGCAAAAGGTACAAAAATATGGAAGTTCACAAAAAGCGAAAAGAAGTTGTAGTGTCATTGAGCAATAACCGCACAATCCACAAAGCTGAACACGAGACTACTCAGAAAATAGATATTCAATATTTAACGCGGATAAATACCTTACAATGGAGGAGGCGCGAACAATGAATTGGATGGACTGGAGTTGATCGAGTGGCATGGCTCGGCCATGCAGGCGTGGTCTCTGCTGAATGTTACCTTATATCTTCTATTCATATTAAATATATTGTTCTTTCTCTAGCCTAACCTTGTTCTACATCATGTATTGGTAATTGATACGATACAGTGAGTTGGTGTAGTCGATGGTGTGACTTCCACGTAAGATCTTATAGATTAGGCAGTTATATCATGACAAATCTAAAAATTTAGGATTAGGTCTATTATTAGAGCAGTACTAATATCATAGTAGACCATAGTTCTACAAAGTCACTTAAGCTTCAAACGAACATTATAACAACAGAGAAATTGTCGGTGGACAATGGGTTCGAAATTAGCCTGTAGGAATATCATCTTAAGTACATTTTGTCTTGTTTGACACAAAGCACTTATACTCTTCATAGAAATCCGCTCACTACTGAAACTATTTAATTCGTCTCTAAATGGCAAGGTAATATCGGTTCATTATTTGGGTGCTTAAATGCCATAGGTCTCATCATAAGAGTGGCTGGACACATACCTAAGTGACTAAGAAAGGAAATGAATTACAGTGGTCAAATAAGATCACGGGATAAGCACGTATTTCCCTACATTGGTAAACATTTGGTTGAGACCGGCCGTTAGTTTGATATCAAGTCGGCCTTTGTAGTCTCATACAAACGTTCGCAAGGATGTTTACTAAAGCTCATTGAAACCTCGGCTATTGTGTTAATTAGGAGTATTTGAATTATAGTACGAACTAAGAATCCCAGAAATAACGTAATCAGATCAAGAAGTACTAGATAAGCACGAACGTTTGTACTGTATTCGG